AAAAAAAAAAAAAAAAAAAGCTGTGATAAATTGGAGGTAAAAGTTTTCTGAGGCTTAGAGAAAAGGTCAAGACTGCAAATGATAAGTGTTGTGATGCTTGCCATTTCTGTTCTGTTTATGGAGTACTGCACTAGGCGGGAATCTAGAACTCAGCAGGAGAAAGGGACATAGCTGCAAGGTACTCAGTGACTCTGCTCTAGGAGCTTCATAACCAAAGATAATTAAAGCCTAGATTGATTTACCTACAGAGCACCTTTTCATTTTTCTAACATATGATGTGGGTAAATTTGAAAGTAAGTTTAAGCCAATATTTTAAATAATTAGATTATGAGTAATTTCCTCCTACTCTACTTTGCCCAAAGAAAGAGTTTCAAAATGGAAGAAAAGAATTGTAAATGGGATAATCACCTTCACTGTCTTTCTCCACTTTGGATTGCTATAGTAAAGTTTCGTTATTTGACTTGAAGTATTTATTATAAATAGTGTTGGACACTTACATGTTCAGAAGATTAAATATATTCATTATCCACAGCTCTGTCCTTTGCATTAGGATTGATAAGTATATTTTAAGCAGAAAAACCTTAATAGTCAATATATAGACTGCTGCATCAGTTTCTTCAAGGAAATTCCTATTTGTTTTAGATTTGACCTCAATAGTCAGGGAGTCAATATTTAGCATACAATAAGAAACTGCTAGATAGAATTTGATTTCATGGTTTATTCTGACTACCTTCTTATTTTCACATTTTTAATTTTTAAAATGTTGGTTATTTTTAATCTGACTCTTGTTTGGTTCATCTTAGTATTTCAGTGGTAAGTGTGATACATCAAAAGGCAGTTATAATACCTTTGCTACTTTTATGGTTTAAAATTGTAATTGTATCATTCAATTATTAAATCATATCAGCTCCCTTGGTCATACCTCCTCACCCTTTTCTATTTTAAAATAAAGGCATCTGCACTTTTCCTTGTTTTGCTTTCCCATTTACCTTTTTTTCTTTTAATTGTTACAGAACTGTAGAAATGATAGAGGCAGAATTCTACTAATCTAGCAAACCCTGTTATCTAATTTCATTTCTCAACGTCCAGAATGTTGTAGAATCTTATAGTTTTGTTGCCACATTTAATTAGCATGAGATGCTCTTTTAATACTTGGTTCATACCTTCCACTTCCTTAAAATATTAATCATTTACCACATAGCACATCCGTCTCCTGCTCTATAAAACAAATTTTAGATCTTTGGAGTCATATTTTGTTTAAATTCCAAAGTTAAGTAGTGGCAGATGCACAACTCAGCATGAAAAGTGTAATGATTTATGTGGATATTGTAAGTGACTGTTTTATTTTGCATTGGTTTAATGATAATACGTGAATTGGTTTTTTTACCAGTCTCAGTCAATTAGTTTTTACTTCCATGGAGTTTATAAGTTGGTTCCAATTTTATACCTAAATTTAAAAGCTTAAATGTATCATGTCTGTTTTTAAATGTACAGGACATTCATGCTTTGTGGAAAACTGGTATTGAATAGAAGATATTCATTTATTTAACCTTTGGACCTTAATTGTTACTGGACCTTAAAATTTCACTTTAATAACTAATTCACATACTTTTTAAGAAATTCAGTTATTTTAAACTTAATTCATTTCTTTGAGACCTGCCATTAACTCTTTATTATTATCATCATCATCATCATCATTTTCCTCACCCAAGGATATTTTTTCCATTGCTTTTCAGAGACAGTGAAGGGGGGGGTTGGAGGGGGAGAGAGAGACAGAGACAGAGACAGACATCGATGTGAGAGGAACACAACAATTGGTTGCCTCCTGCACGTGCCCCAACTGGGGCTGGGGATTGAGCCTGCATGCGTGGCCCAAACTGAACCCGGGACCCTTCAGGCCAAGGGCCAACACTCTAACCACTGATCCAAACCAGCCAGGGCATGAACTCTTATTTTTACTTGGAGTTGTAGTTGAGAAGATTAAGAAAGTGACACCCATGATTCTATTAAGTGTGCAGTATTTCAGGAGGTTGTAGCAGTAGAATTTCAAGCCTTAGTTTTCTTTAGTGCCATCCAAAACAAGCTGATTTATATAGTTTTTTCAGTTTGGAAAAATCATAGCAAAATAAGGAGAATTATTTTGTTTTAACCTGTATCATTCTATAATTTATGATGAAAAATTACCAATTTTCTCTTCAGTAAGTAACATTACTAAGTTTTTAACTTCCTGCCATAATTATAATTTTCAAATTCTTATCTGAAAGATTACTTGGTATTTTAATGCATTGGTTAATTTTGAACTTATAATAATTCGGTGAGGTAGGTTAGTTTACTTGGAATGATTTGAAAGCTCAAGATTATGTCTTGCTAATTTTCTGAGTTGGGTAGGGACTTTAAGAAATTGGAAATAAGTTTTTTTCCTTACACTAAAACAATTAGCTTGGGAATAATTCTACCATAAATCAAGAATTTATAATTTGACAAATATAATACTTTCATTAAAGCAAAATAAACCCCAAATATTAGTAAGTAATAATTATAGAGTGTCAGAGAATAGATAGCAACTGTACACCTCATTTTTAAAATCTGTATCATTTGCTGCAAAATTTAGTAGGCTGGAATCTTGCTAAATTTTGTTAGTCAAGGGGTTACGCAGAGACTATTTTTTCCAGATTTGAGAAAAGAAAGGAAAAAGTCTTTTCAGGTTTGAGAATTGTCACTAAGATATTCTGGTTATAATTGCTGATATGATAAGAAGAGAGGCATATTTTATTTTTACTATTATCTACACCTTTTTCGGTCAAGTTACTGTTTCAACATTTAATGGAAAAAAATCTGATGGTGGAGAGAACATTGGAATTTGTATTCATCAGGCAAAAAAAAAAATAAATCAGAAAATTACGAGCAAAATAAGGAATGTCATCAATAATTTATGTGTTGTATATTTCCTATTACTTTTCTTCAATGGAAGACATAGAAATCAAGCTAAGTATTTTTGGAATCAATAATTCTTAGTTTTTTGCTCATAGATCCATCTCTCATGAATTTGTGCAACTGCACAGTGATTTAATGAGAATTTAATTCAGGATTTTAAAATTCTGTTTTCTAAATAAATGTACAGCTGATTCATTCTCCCTTCTTTTTTTAAGGAATCTAGGTAAAAATGGCTTATCTAACAGTAGCATTTTATTGGATAAATGTCCACCTCCAAGACCACCATCTTCACCATACCCGCCCTTGCCAAAGGACAAGTTGAATCCACCTACACCTAGTATTTATGTGAGTCTGAATTGACTGACTAGAAATAAATCAAACTAGTGTTTGCACCTATATGTCTTTCATAAGATCTTGCTTTAAATCAATAATGTGAATGCCCTTTAGGAAACATTAAAATTATTGGCTGCAGCTTGAATGTTTTTTGGGGAATAAAGATGTTTTCAAAAAGATTTTCTAATAGCATGTAAAACATACCTTCTTAGCTATTAACTGTGATTACATTAGAGTAGTGAGAAGTACTCTGTACTGCCCCCAATTTTGAGCCGTATTAGGCAAAAACTACCTAAAAGTATAACATTTTTTTGAGTAAGCTGAGTTTTAAATCTGCATTCTACTAGTTGTATGGACCTGAACATTGATTCTATTTTATACATCTGAAAAAAAAAAAAAA